TATGTGGCTGGCACCTTAGCCGCTTGAGCCACAGGCGCTGAGCCTTTTCTTTTTTTTTGAGACAGAGTCTCAAGAGGGCTCAAGCCAATCTTGCTGCCTCTGGAGTAGCTAGCACTACAGACTGCCACAACACTGAGCTATCTTTTGCAGCCCGGGTCTCGTTCTTGTTCAGGCTGGTCTCAAACTCCTGAGCTAAGGCAATCCACCCACCTCAGCCTCCCAGAGTGCTAGAATTATAGACATGAGCCCAGGGCCTGGCCTAAAGTGTAACTTTTGTAGACATTAGCAATGCTTAGCAGAGTGAATTCTGCAGCATTATAGATGGGTGGAAAAAAATTTGGCACATAATAAGAGAACTTGAAATATATTCAGTTACATCATTCTCCAGATTAATTACCTATTCTTCAGTCCACTGGCCTATAAGAATATTATTCGTCCAGTATGTGAAATAGAATTTTCTTTGTTTTACAGGCTTATTTTGCTGATGGCAATAAGGTAAGGATATTTTACCTACAGTATGTGAAAAAAAGTTTCTATATTCCAACAATTAGCATTCACGAACTTATGTGAAACCTTTTTTTTGTTTTTTTTTTCTTCTTCCTTGCCCACCTTCTCTATTCCCATCTCATCCTCTTATCTCCCCAAAAGCAACAAGATCGTGAACCTGTATTTTCAGAAGAACTGGGGCTTGCAATAGAGAAATTGAAGGATGGATTCACCCTACAGGGACTTTGGGAAGTAATGAGTTGATCTTGAGTTGAGCTGGATTTCTATTTAAAGATATCTCAAGATTAAAGATATTAGTCACCTTCTATAAGCCATGAAATAGCTTTTATATTTACAGCTTTTGGATTTAAAGCTTTTAATGATAAAGGAAAACCCATTTAGAAAACTGCCAGTTTTCTAAAAAATATATTTTGAATTGTAATCAGAATGTACATAGTTTGTAAATGTTTTATTGTGTACCTAATACTTGTAAAGTGTTAGTTTTCAGATATTAAATGACTGTATCATGCTGGGTTTAATAAAGAATTTATACAGCACCATTTAATGTTTTGAAAGAATTATTTAAAAGACTTCTTATGGAATAATCAAAATACTGCTTTAATTATAAAAATCTGGTTAAATATATTATTATGTAGCTCCAAACATAAACCAACTCCAGTACAAATTGTAATCTTTAAATATGTCATTTTTAGAGCATCATTTTTGTAAAAACTAATAATTGTAACTAACTTTGGAGTGCATCAACCCCTCTGTAATGTTTTAGGTGCTATTTTATAAATAATTTCAATATAGTGTGGGTAAGAATACATCTATTTGTAAAGAAATAGTATTGTTCATTTATTAACTTTCTCATTTGTATTCATTGATACTTAATTTGAAATTTTCAAAAATAGGATATTATTTTTCTGATTTCTCAGTTAGGTAGGATTTGGTGACCTCTTTAGCATGATCCAGTGTTTTGGGCCACTGCTTCAGTGTAAAAAGCATTTTAAGAAGACTTTGTCAAATAATTGACATTGTTCAAAAGAACCCTCTTTTTCTAGAAGGCTTTTTCTTTTGTGTGTAAGAAAACAAAATAAAATGCGTCTTTATATACAACATAGACACATAGTATAATGAAGTAGTAACATAAGTTGATTAAAAATCAATGAACAAAAGCTGCAAGTGGGTTTCACTATTAAATGGAAAAGGATGTCTACATGGGATGGAGTTATAATAAGCCACCAACATTAAGGAGAAAAGATTGTTTAAAAAATTTGTATGAATCACAAATAAAATGCTGCCACAATATTTAAATACTGTTTTTCAAACAAGAGACTTCGTAGAATTGCCAGCTAGTAAAGAATAATCTCAAATGTCATGTCATGGTATTTGCATCTGATTCATTAATCTTTTCAAATGTTAGATGTTACGTGTAGAGAGAAATGAGTCATTTATTGTTCAAACAAGGAAGCAGCTGTTAGTTTTTTCTAGTGTGTTAAAACCTTTAGCAGCATCTATAAATGGAAAAAGAGGCAATGAGCTCTGAGTTCAGCTGTTGTTTTAGCAGCTGACAGTACCACTGACTTCACTGTGATGTAAAATAAAAGAAGACACTTTTACTCATGGATAGAGACCTTGAAGTTTAAAAATACATAATTCCCTGATCTGGGAGGCATTCAAGTCATTGAACAAATACAATTTATAGAGTACCCTTGGGGCTTTAACATTGAACAGAACAGATCCTGGAGGGAAAAAAAAAACCTTGTCTTCATGGAGCTTATATTCTTTGGGGCATGCTTAACAATACCAACCTTTGAAATTACAGTATTTCTATAGCCCTACTGAAAATGTGATTAAGTAATAAAAGTAATGAAGAAGTATATCCATCTATATACATGTATAAACAAAGGATCCATTTTCTTTCAAATCATAATTTCTGTATTCCATAATTAATGTAGTGTTCTATTAGAATCAACAATATACATTATGATTCCAATTGTGGGTTTTTTTAAAATAAGGCCTGTTTTTCAAATTGTATGACCCATGTAGGACTTTGTGCTGATTTTGCTGTGTTCTGGTGATAATATTGTTCTTACGGGGTTACCTGTATCCTATTTTTTAACCTTTAATTTAGTGAAATTTAATTCTCAGCACAAAATTACAGAATATCTTTAGTGACTACATTTTTTTGTTTGTTTGTTTTTTTTTTTTTTTTTTTTTTTTTTTTTGCAGTTTTTGGCTGGGGCTCAGTTTGAATCTACCTCTGGCATATGGGGCCGGCACCCTACCCCTTTGAGCCACAGGCGCCACCCCGTGACAATATTTGTGTGTGGGTTTTCTCTTTTCCTATCATTGACTTTTAACTTTTTAAATTTTTTTTCTAGTCTTGATGATTCCTTTTAACCATTTTCCTTTATTTTACTTGTTCTTACTGTTTGCCGCATCAAATCCTTTGTACAGCAAGATAGAGTGTGAATAAATTAAATACTTTTATAACTTGATTCAAAGTTATAGCTTTTCCACTTAAGAATAAAGATAATTTAGAATGTTTTAGAAAATTAATTGTTTTCTCTGTATTTATTTCAATTATGATATAGCTATTTTAAAGGTTTTATGAAACTGTAGTACATAAGTAAACATCAAGTTTCCTACCGCTAAAAGAAAATTCTAGATCCCACTGTGTTAAATGGACAATAAAAATTTGTATGTAACAATTATTGGAAATAGGATCTTGCTTATGAGTATTCAAATGAACTCACCTCATATTCTTGAACACTGCATCATTAATTCAGAGAGCCAAGGAGTTCACTACTAGAACATTTTTAGAAGAGTGACTCATTTTTATGATTCATTTTTGTTAACTCAACATTTTCTCGTAGTAGCCTTTCTTATCTTCTAATACTTTAAGTATTTCAAAGCTTTCTACTTAAATGTCTTGTCTCTTAGCTGTTTCCTTAGTGATTCCAAGTTCCAGTTGTTACTTTCAATCTTTAACAGCTGCAAGAACAACTCTATCCAAACTAGCTCTCCTAAATTCCCCTTGTTAGAGTTGGTGTCTATATTTAGCTGGTGGGATTAAATTGCAAAGGCTTCAAGCTGGGCAAAGCACACTGATCTGCCTTTTTACAGCTAGACCTCTGTGCTGCAAGGAGCTAAGGCTTTCAGTGTCCCCTTCCTTACCCAGGTTACTCACAAAATGGATTCCCAGCGGGAACTTGCAGAGGAACTGCGGCTTTACCAATCCACCCTTCTTCAGGATGGTCTAAAAGATCTCCTGGATGAGAAAAAATTCATCGATTGCACCCTAAAAGCAGGTGACAAAAGTCTTCCTTGCCACAGATTGATTTTGTCAGCCTGTAGTCCTTACTTCCGTGAGTACTTTTTATCTGAAATTGAAGAGGCGAAAAAAAAGGAGGTAGTGCTAGATAATGTGGATCCAGCTGTACTTGATTTAATCATCAAATACCTGTACTCTGCCAGCATTGATCTCAATGATGGAAATGTGCAAGATATTTTTGCGCTGGCCAGCCGCTTTCAGATCCCCTCAGTGTTCACCGTGTGCGTTTCATATCTTCAGAAAAGACTTGCTCCTGGCAATTGTCTAGCTATACTCAGATTAGGACTTCTTCTCGACTGCCCGCGACTTGCCATTTCTGCCCGTGAATTTGTGTCTGATCGCTTTGTACAAATCTGTAAAGAAGAGGACTTTATGCAACTGTCTCCACAGGAATTGATCTCGGTCATTTCAAATGACAGCCTAAACGTAGAAAAGGAGGAAGCGGTGTTCGAGGCGGTGATGAAATGGGTGCGAACAGACAAGGAAAACAGGGTTAAAAACCTTAGTGAAGTGTTTGATTGTATCCGTTTTCGCCTCATGACAGAAAAATATTTTAAAGATCATGTTGAAAAAGATGACATAATTAAAAGCAACCCAGACATCCAGAAGAAAATCAAAGTTTTGAAAGATGCTTTTGCAGGCAAACTCCCAGAACCTAGCAAAAATGCAGAGAAGACAGGGGCTGCAGAGGTGAATGGTGATGTTGGGGATGAAGATTTACTTCCTGGTTACCTGAACGACATCCCCAGGCATGGAATGTTTGTCAAAGACCTCATCCTCTTAATTAATGACACAGCTGCAGTGGCTTATGATCCCACAGAAAATGAATGCTACCTTACCGCACTGGCTGAGCAGATTCCCAGAAACCATTCCAGCACTGTCACCCAGCAAAATCAAATATATGTGGTAGGAGGACTCTATGTGGATGAAGAAAATAAGGATCAACCTCTACAGTCATATTTCTTCCAAGTAAGAAACACTATTTTTATATAAGTAGAGGCATAAAGGGAAGGCTGGTTATTCACCGTCCAGTTAGCCACTTTGTGAATTACTCAGGCTGTTTGCATTTTATTCTAATTGACGTTCTGTTCTAGTCCCTTGCACTTTCACTATTTAAAGGGTTAACAGAAAAAAATATTTGGACGGCGCTTGTGGCTCAAAAGGGTAGGGCACCGGTGCCATATGCCGGAGGTGGTGGGTACCACCCCAGCCAAAAATAATAATAAAGAAAAATATTTGACTACTTGTTAATATTTAATAAAAAGTTTGGTGAGTAACAGGGTTCTAATTAGTATTTAACTCAGGACCTAAGATTTTCTTTATACTCTTTTACCCAAAATGTCTTTATAGTTGATGATGACTATAATCTTTCAAAACCTAGTACTTTAGTAAAAACTAAATTTAATCTTATACATTCGTGCCTATTAAAATTAGGCTAATGTCTTTTCCTAAATCAAAGTGTACAGAGCAAGGCAGCAATAATTTTTCAGATTTTCTACCTCTTCCAAATTCTTGGATTGGAAGTTCTTAAAGGTAGCATTTCATCTCTTATTTATGGTTACTGCCTAAAATATGCTTTTGTTGAAAATGAAAATAACTGTTTACAGTGTGTCCAACCTGTGGCCAAAGGGCCACATGCTGATTTTGTGAGGACTATTTTTGCTTATCTGTGTGTCAGATAGGACAAAAAGTATGCACGAACCTTTTTTTTTTTTTTTTTTTTTGCTAATCAGCTTTCATTAGTACTTGTATATTTAATGTGTGGCCCAAGACAACTCTTACTCTTCTGACGGGCAGTAGAGAAAAAAAAAACGTTGGACATCCCTGGTTTACATATTCTAAACACTTCGGACTCTCTCCTAGGAAAACTGTCTTACACAAATGTCAATAATTGGAATTAGTTGATATTTATTATTAGTTTTAATTAATGACATCACATTTATCTGGATCAGAAATGTGCTTAGACATTCTTAC